GCCGCCAGAGTCGCCTTTCCTTTGGGTTGAATACGGCGTGACTGGCTGAAGAAGAAGCAGCCGACCCAGAAGCAGATGATGGAGACCAATGCCCTGAGCCAGAGGGTCTCGGCGGCGAAAGGGAGGTTTGCTGTACCGAGAGCGAGGAAGATGGTGTTCCCTGGACAGCATGTTAGCTTAGACGCGTCGGCGACACACTTGCCAGTAGGCCCGGGGATGAGGTAGATAGGGACTTGCCTGTCTGCATGCTCACAAACACGCTGCTGGCGTTGAAGGCAACGCTGTCACAAATTCCGGACACGAAGCAGGTCGCAAGCACGGGCAGGTCCGAGTGTGACGGGTTGATTTCCTCGCGTAGTCTGGTCATGAAATCATGTTTCGGAGCGGCCTCTGTCTCTTGTTGGGGCATCGTGGAGGCGTCAGACGAGACTCTGTCAGTCAGCATCGCCGGTGTCCCAAGTTGTGAATCCTTTGGAGGTTGCTCTATCGTCGCCATGGCGCTCTCGATGACACTGTCATGCAGCCAACATCCAGCACTAATGTGTCGGTCGAATTTTATAGTGAGCACCTCAGAGATAGCGGTCATCGAGAAAGACTCTTTTCAAAATTTCCAGTCAGGGGTTAGGGCCCACCTCTTTGCCCAGAGCTTAGGCCGGATCCACCACGTTATCTCCCGTCGACGGCGGCGATGGGGCTCCTTAGGCAATCGGCCGATTTACCCGGCCGCCGCTCCGAGCACTTGAAAAACTCATCTTATGAAGTTGAGAAGTGAGGGCCAAAAGAAAATCTCAACAAGCCATGGAGTTAATCCGCTCATACTTCCAAAGATTAGAGGTCCTCAGAGGCCACTTTGTGAGGCCTTTCATGGTTTCTTGTGCAAATTAAATCACGCCGGAAACAATGAGTGCGTTCCAGAAGCCAGTCCGACGGAGTCTGGGTTAGACAGGGGGACAATCACGCCATTGTGGCTTGGGCACTTTGCTGTCAGGAGGAGGTTGAAAGCCGCGTCTGACGAGGATTTCCGCATTGCAACATGTTTTCCCTGTAATTAACTTCCGTCTTCTAGTCTTTCTTGCTGTAAAACCTGAGAAATTTGTCTCGGGATGGATTGATATGATTTCGGATCGGTCGCGCGGTGTGCACTCCCTGTCCGGGTTTGGTAGGAGGGGGCTTTGTGACGATCGCGCAAGATGCAAGCTGTGGGTGTCGAGTTCACAACCTTGGAAGTGGAGAGACATCCCCAGGAGAGCGCTGGGGCATGTTGTGTTTGTCAATGTGTTACCCTTTAGGTATGACTAAATCAAGCATTCTAGTTGCCGGTTTTCCGATGCGGGATGAAGACGTTCAAGTTTGAGGCCATTCTTGGTAGGCGTCGATAACAGATTAGCCTTTTACCGCTTTTTCGGCCTGTAGATGACATGAAGTTGCCCGGCCTTCCAAGCGCTGGGGTGTCCCGACATGCTTTGATTGCTCATTAGTGTATTTCTGACCAGGTTGGGTTCAGGATTGGAGTCGATGGGTGTCTCAGAGGGCCTGGTCCAAGTAATGCTTTTGAACTGCCTCAGCCTTGACAGCAATTAAGTCTAGGGCGTTTTTTATTCTTCGATATTGCAAATGATAACATACGCATATCCGAGAAATAACGTGCCCGGCCCAGATCTCGGCCCACCCCCATTCTTGGCCACCCTGCACCCACGTTTATAAGACGGATCTGCTTACTGCTAGCAAAGTAGACTGCTCGGCGAGAAGACCAGAATTTCTAATTAATATGAAAACGGATATTCGCATACCCAAAATCAGCTTCTGCATACCCTCGTCTGACTAATCATGCTGCCCCATGTGCCCGAATTTGAAGTTGACTATGGGCTCGCCATACAAATAATTAATGTGACTGTACTGACTGACGTGCTACATTATAGCACTACTCCCATACACCTACGGGCACTAATTAAGCACTACTATATCTAAGAAAAAAAAGCCCATTTTTTGACCTATAAGTTACCTAATGTAAGCGAATTTCACACTATTAAACGCAATAAAGTCACGATGTCGCCCAATGAAGCCGATATTGCGCAACGAAGCTGACGTCGCCCAACGTGGGCGCCACTGCGACGATCTCATCCTGCGTTTCCTTACCGCCCTCGCCGTTGCCATCGCCATCGCTGTAACGCCAAAAATAATATCCATTTGACGAGGTGTTGGTGGTGGGCGGGTGGGTTGAAGTTGGTGGGCAAAGGAGGTCTCGCAGAGCATCTAGTCAGGCTGCAAAACGCATCATGTTGGGTGAAGTATAGTGAAATGGGAGGCTCTGATTGGCTGCAGGGCTTCTTAGTCAGACGAGGGTATGCAGAAGCTGATTTTGGGTACGCGAATATCCGTTTTCATTAATATTAGAAGTCCCTAGCAGTATATAAGCCCGTAAACGACGTTTGAGCAGCTTCTATGAAGGATAGTGCTTACATGGAGGCAGGAAATCCCTATGGCTGTCCCTGCTATTGCTACCTCATTTACTGTGAGCAGGCTTCCGCGGTGAGTGACAGTCGGAGGAGCAGGTGGAAGTCGATTGGTGCACGAGGATGCGGGGCAACACTACAGCTTTGACCTCGGCATCTCCAAAGCGCTTGAAACATTCCACGAGGGATTCCATTCGAATGAATTCTGATCCACTACACGCCCGTGCTTGACGTCCTCACTATCAAGAAAATCGAAATCCCCGTGTGAGACAAAGGCGGGGTTGCCACGGACCACTATACACCAATCGAGAGCACCTACAGGACGCCATCATGTCGAGTGAGAACGAGAATCCTGCTGCCCAACTTCCCTGGGCAGAGCCCGCCTGGCTCGCGTCCCTAGAGTCGCCTTACTACAATGAGTCCCACAGGAAGCTTCAACTTTATGCCAGGAATTACATCGACCAGAACATCCTCATTCATCATTTGAAGTGGGAGCATGACGGTGACTGCCCAGATGCAGCAAAAGTGGACTATATCAACTCTGGGCTGCCCTTCGCAAACATACCAACCGAGTACAGACCGCGTGGATTTGAACTCGTGGCTGGTATACGAGCTGACGAGTTCGATGTATTCCACTTCATGATTGTCAGTGATGAGATAGGCCGTATAGAGGGAGGCGTCGGCATCGCGCTGGCAGGAGCAAATTCGATTGGCGTGCCGCCAATAATCGACCACGGCACCGGAGAGCAGAAGCGGCGGTGGCTGCCTGGACTGTTCACGCGAGAAACGAGCTTCTGCTTGGGGATCACGGAGCCTAGTGGCGGCAGCGATGTTGGCAATATCTGCACCAAGGCCGTCAAGTCTGCGGACGGAAGCCATTACATCGTCAGTGGTACGAAGAAGTGGATCACAGGAGCACAATGGGCATCGCATATGACAACGGCCGTTCGTACAGGAGGTCCAGGTATCCAAGGCATCTCGATGCTCGTTATACCTCTCCGCTCGAAGGGGGTGGAGATCGAAAAGATATACAATAGTGGTCAGAACGCCGGTGGGGCGAGCTGGGTGCGCATGAGCAATGTTCACGTCCCCGTCGAGAATTTATTGGGTCGGGAGAATGCAGGCTTCAAATACATCATGACCAATTTCAACAGGGAGAGGTTTCTCAGTAAGCAACTTTTGGATACAATCTTTACCCCTTTAAGAAAAAGCATACCCCATCTTTAGCCCATACAACAAAGACTGTACGGGCTGCAGGTTTTGAAACAGGCTATAGCCACCTTGTGGCTTACTCTTCACCGTATTGGCATGAAGCTACTTCTTTGGCTCTTTGATAACTGACTCTGAATGCTGTAGTGGCCATTATCTGTAATCGCAAAGCTCGGACCTGCCTCACCACGGCGATGCAGTACGCATACACCCGCGAGACATTTGGCAAGCCACTTGTTTATCACCAGATTATCCGACACAAGATCATCATGCTGGCTAGGGAGGTGGAGTCGCATTGGGCATGGCTAGAACAGATCGCCTATCACATACAGATCCATGGGTGGCAAAACGACGACGTTGCAGGGCGAATAGCTCTGGCAAAGGTGTCAGGTGGTAGGTTGCTGGAGCAAGGTGCGAGAGAGGCCCAACAAATCATGGGCGGCGTTGCGTACCAGAGAAACGGCCCCGGCGGAGGAGGTCGGATCGAGCAAATCACCCGTGACCTGCGAATGATGGTGGTTGGAGGGGGCTCCGAGGAGATACTCGGGGACCTAGCGTTCAGGCAGGATACAAAAGCAGCGCAGCGGAAGAGCTCAAAATTGTAGCCACGTGAGTTGGCCCTCTTCTCGAAAGTGATTGGGGACATTTGCTGAGTTTCAGCCGTGCTGGCTGTGTGGTCAGGGCTGACATCTTTTGTGATTCGTGTATCATTTGATGCGATATCTTGTCCGGTTTCAGATCCCGGTATATAAATATTCATTTCGTCGGAGAGAGAATGAGGCTCCCCATGCTGCTGTGAACATGTGCATTACTCTTGCTGGACAAGGAATTATCCACCTCCACTTCCTCGCGTTAATTACTGAGGCATCTTGGCGACTCAAGATTTTCAAGCTCGAAAAGCGGGAAAAAGGAGACACGACCTGATAATGTAGTGTGCTGGGGGAAGGCTTGATGCTGGGACGAAAAAGTTTGCGTAGGATTAGCTGGTACTTTACATATAACAATGGTCAGCGATACTGGGTTGAGTGCAGAAATCCCCCAAACACATGCATCGTTTTCGTAGCAAGATTGAGGGATACACCGCACCTGGCAGGCAGGCAAGTGAATTCGTCAATAAGATCAACGGCCGGAATAGTAATACTTTTCCGGCTTTTGAATCGGATGTCGTAATGCAGCCAGTTTGCTTGCACAAGGCGGCCGGAGCATCGACAAAGGCTTCGTCCCAGATCCAAGCAGCAAGCCACAGTATCGTGGGTTGGTGTTCCACATGGGTGGATCGCCACAAGGGACCCACCCAGAGAAGCAAAAATTAACGCGCGATGTTGCAAAAGAGAAAAATGGAGGAGAGGCGGATTGAACGCCTGACCTTCCGCAATGTCTTTTTGATGAGGACATAGGAAATCATCTTGCAAAGCGGGCGCGCTACCACTGCGCCACACCCCCGAACGATTCCCTTAGTCCTACTTGAAATACATATTCCAAAAACTCCCCATTACGTACATGTTGAAGGAGTTGCTGGGACTATTGCTACCTTCAAATGGTCAGGGTATGGCAATGTATGTCGGTAAGAGACTGTCACTACTTGGAAGTTGGTATAGCGTGCATCGCTCTACACTTTTCTGTATAATGCTTTCGCAGGTTGGCAAGGCTGCTGCCTGGTGCAACCTTCCCGATAAACGCAAGCATGGGCGCCCGGAAATTGCGCTGATTCCTCCCGCCCGCTAGAAATCCTTCGCAAAGCTTGGCCCCAACCTCGCGAGTGTCGATTCGACCAGCTTGCCTGATTGTAGGCAGATACCAAGGGGCAAAATAGGCTTCTAGCTGGTGAGCTCCTATTCAGAACAGGCATCAATAGGGGGATTCGACGACGACTGTTGTTTGAAGACCGGTATATAAAGTGCCGACACCAGCAGATTTGAGTGAGTAACTCGTTGCCCACCATCATAAGTCACCGTCATTGGTAGTCACTGACAGCACTGAGCCCTTTCCGCCCAACAATTATCAAGATGCGATTCACGTCACTCCTTACTGGTCTTGCGCTGCCAGCTTTTGGTATGGCCCAGGTACGTCGACTGTTCTGCTCCAGTTGTGCACTCCATACTACCATACTTGCTTCGGTACCTCGCTAATCGCTATTGGTTTTCATCAACAGGATATCAGCACAACATTGACCACTACCACTACCGCCGCCGCACCTTCAGCGACCCCGGACTACCTAGCTATCTGCGAGTCGCAAGCCTCTGGCTACGCTGATAGCTGCCCACAATGCCTCTACCGGTGCATTGGGTCATCCTATGTCGAGCAATGCTATTGGAGCACTTTCTTCTCTGTTAATGGTATTCAGGCTCAGTGCGAGGCCCGAGGAGGTTGGAACTGCAGGGACACAGCCGTCAATGCTGTTTGCTCTGGGTCCTCGGCAAATTAGATGAATCTGCAGGATGAGCTGCCGGTTTCGTTCACAATTATTTCGAGATTGATAAGGATCACAAGAGGAGCTATTGAGGCATGGGTCACTCTTTACGCGATTCTCGGGTTTTAAAACAATAACACGCCTGATTTTGAAGTGATAGAGGCTGCATTGTTTGGAAGTTACTGGCAGATGCGAGCCGTATTGGGGTTCAAATAATACCTTGATTGAAGCACGCTTTCCGCTGTATACGAACACCAAGACCTATGGTGGTGACTCAGTATCCTGTCGAAACCGAGTTGATGCTATAATGTATATTCGCCGCATGAAACATACACAAGCAGCATCGCGGGTACCTTCGCGATTTGTAACCGTGGTTGCAACCTGTCAGAAATTTATTTTGTAAGCTAGAAATACATTTTGGTCTCAATGGGGACTGAGTGGATAGTTCCGCCAATATAGGTCAAGATAGGTATGTATGAGAATGAAGCAGGTTTACGTGGTTTAAATTGTTAAGGTGGTATTAATTTAGAATCCAGATATTTACGCCTAAAAAATTGAATAGCACGCCTAATTTTATAACTAATAATGCCGCCATATATACTTAAATTAAGAAACACTATAGGTTTACTATACAAATAGTTAATATAACTATACTAACTAATATACCACTGTATACCACTATTTCTATATACTTAAGGGCATTAAATAAGTACTATTAGACTTAAGTATTAGTAAATGTTACCTATATCATCGCCTATGTAGTATTGGTCGGTAATCCTAGTAGGAGTTAAACCCACGCCTTCTGTGTCTCTACAGATAGGCAGCACGACGGCTAACTAAGTGCGCCACAAGACCATATTTCAAGTAGGCTGTTAAAATTCCAATAGTTACAGGACACGAAATATCTTTCGATCGTTAGGCATGCCCGGCACTTGCTTTATGAGAAAGGCTTATACAATCTAATAGCAGACCTTGAGGTAGATGTAATTTCTTCAATATGTTCAGACCTAAATAGTGGGCTAGGCCACGTGCCACAATTATATTCTGAACCTACTATTATCGGCATTGTTTTTTTTTTTTTTTAAAAAAAAAAAGCTGGGTGTTTAAGCGTTTACCACTATATGAAGGGACCGCCTACTTACTGCTTAAGAAGCGTGTGTACACAGATTAAAAACGAAACCACCTAAATAGTGGGGCAGGGGCTCAAGGCGGGGTTACAATAGCACGTATAAAAGGCTTTCAAGAAGTGGTTGCAACCTTTGTGCGTCCATCGGATGCTTCGGTCGTAATTTGAATCATGTAGAGGGGGCCACGGTAATGAGTTAAGTCCCTTTTATAGATCGGCCGTTCGTGTCATGACTTTACTGGGGCATACTGTGTTTTGTGTAGAGACACTATTTCAATCACATACACTATTATAGTAACACCAGCATATCTTCAAAAATCGCAACACGTTACTACAGAGCCCCCTGTGGCTTAATCACTACCCGGGTATCTACCTAGTCATCTCTATACCACACAGGAGGGTGTCCTATAGGAGGGTATCCTATGGGAGGGTATCCTATGGTAGGATGTCCTATAGGAGATTATTCTATAGGAGGTTGAGCAGTGAGGAGTGCCCATGTGGTTTATTGGGTAAGTACTTAGGCAGTCATGCTGTGGCCGCGTAGCGGGCACCCAAGCAAAGCAAAGCTCGTAGTCTCTGTTTGAACCAGGGGACAACTAAATACACCAATCAGCTTGAGTCAACTTTATCTGGACCCGGTGATGGACACTTCCCTGAAAATGAGCGCATGTGTCAAGCGCAGGTCTTCCCTCAAATCTCTCCAGAGCCTCGAGTAATAAGCTTTCATTAGCAATTTCAGCTTCAAATAAATTGTCCCCGCAGCCTAGGAATAGGCCAAGTGTATGGTAAGGCTGAGTCATGGTAGGGCCAGCGGCACTCCACTGTTCTATGGCTGCCAAGAAGTAATGTATACAGAGTTTGGGGACAGCTCCATACATAGGGTTTTCTCAGGCTTCCAACTTAATCGTGCGGTTGTTCGATGTATTTATGGTCGCTCAAGTGCCTGTTCAGGGCCGCATGTCTCTCTTTCATCCGTCATCCGACGACGTTTATACACTCCTTTTTTAGACGACACAGACTCGTCCTATTCACTCTTTTGAAATGCACGCCCTAAGCCTTCTGGGGGTAGCCGGAGCTGCTTCCGCCGGTTTCACTACCATCCGAGCCTCGAATTCTAGTGACCCATGGGCCGATTGGAACGAGGAGACGGCATTCACGATGAAGAATTTCACTGTTACCCCGAAAGGTGTGCTTAATGCCTACGAGAGATGCGGAGGTATCGGTCACTACGGTCCCACTGCCTGTAGCCAGGGAATAGACGTGACGTGCACGTTCCACAACGACTACTACAGTCAGTGCTGGCCTGTGTCCGACCCAAATGCCCCTGTGAAGCCGAAGCCCGCCGGACCCAAACCCACGAAGCTAAGCCCTCTTGTCAATAGCAAGCCCGTGGGCTTTGCCTCTGGTGTCACTGGTGGTGGCGACGCTGAGCCGGTCCGACCCAAAGACGTCAACGAACTGAGCGACCTGCTGCAGGACCCGGAACCCCGGGTCATCGTCATCGACAAGACTTTCGATTACACCACCGCGATGGGGACTGGTGTCATTGACGGTTGCAAGCCTTGGGGTGATTTGGAGAGTAGATGCCAGGTCGCTCTAGGTCTCGGCGGTGACTGGTGTAACCGCGAGAAGCCAGACGCGCCAAAGGTACAGGGCTTGGAATTCAACAAGGCTGGAATTAGCCCCCTCTGGATCCGTTCCCATAAGACGATCATTGGCGAGAGTGACAAGGGCATTATTGTGGGCCGCAGCAGTAAGCAGCCTTTGGATACGAGTTCAACCCCTTCAAGCAGAAACTTCTCCCATCCTTAGCCTGTTCCTCAAACGTTTGCCAGGCTGCGGCATTTGAGATAGGCTTTGGTCACACTGCAGCCCAGACCTTCCCATACTTACATGGAACTGCTGCCTTTGTGCTTTAATGGCTGACTCCGAATGCTGCAGTCCGCATGATGGGCGTCGAGAACATCATTATTCAGAATGTCAAATTTACGAGCATTAACGAGAAATACGTCTGGGGTGGTGATGGTTTGGATGTCTGTAAGTTTAATGCATCGCTTTAGGCTCTGTAGTAGGTGACTGACACGTGGAAGGGGGATCGAACAACATCTGGCTCGATCACTTAACAATCAGCCGGATCGGTCGTCAGCTGGTGGTTGTTCACGAAGGAAGCAACCAGAACATTACAATTAGCAGCGTCCACTTTGACGGCTTCAGTCAGTTTCACTCTTCTCTTGCAACGGATCCCCGACTTTTATGGTTTGGAATGTTCTAGAATGCAACACTTTAGGATCCGTAGCAGGACTAACGTCACCATTAGCCGAGTACAGCAGTAAATGTGGAACCGAGAGTAGTACATCGCATTATTGGTGAGTTCCGTTCCATTAGGGGTCCCGCGAGAGGCATCCTATATCTGATGGAAAACCGCAGGGGCTCCAAGTTCTCAGGTCAAGACGACTCCATTACCTTCATCAACAACTACATGGACTACTTCAGTGGTCGTGCGCCGCAGGTGGGAGACAAGAATGAGAGTAGCGTTTCGCTGACCCACGTCGTCAACAATGTCTGGGAGGCAGTCTCGTCTGAAGCTCATGCTTTTGAAGTCCTTACTGGTGGTGTTGTTCTTGCTGAAGGAAACTTCATTGTAAGTACTTTTCCTATCCTTTCGCGGTTCCCCGTCAGTCATGTTTGAGAATGTTCTGGGCCAGTTGTGGAAGGTATCAGGTAATTAACATGCTTTAACTACCCTAGTACAACACGAGCATCGTCCTTGATGACAGCCACGGAGTTGGGCTGGTCTACACGCCCCAAGGCAATGTTGACGATGCTCTCTGCACCAATGCCATTGGTCGCCCTTGCATCCCTAACAATCTGGTCCAGAGTGGCCCTTTCAACGCTTCCAAGCCCGCT